CCCTGATCTATCGATGACAAGAGTATGTGCGAGATGGGTACCTCGGCTACTAACTGAAGATCAAATGCAGTGCAGACTTTCTTCGTCAAACGAATTTTTAAAATTCCAAAGAAAAGTTGACCAATTTCTAAACAAGATCATTACCATGGACGAAACCTGGCTGCATTATTTCGAGCCTGAAGGAAAGCGTCAGTCAAGTGTTTGGAAAACTCCCAGCACGCCGCCTCCCAAAAAAGCTAAAGCTGTTAAATCCATGGATAAAGTCATGTTCATGTTCTTTATGGACAGCCAAGGCATCGTCTTATCCCATGCCGTCCCAAATACTATTTCATGAATACAATATATTAAAAGAGATTTTCAAGAACGGGGGGGGGGGGGGAGGAGTTTTAAAGAGTTTAAGATTGTTTAAAATAAAAATTAAATGATGAAGTGTTTTATGAAAGAAAATTATATCTTTCTTTTTTAAGGTCAGTGGAAATCAATAAGCAAAAATCTTAATCATGAATATTATTTATTAACCCCTTCTCTACCGGCACATTTTACGTGATTTTGGAGACCTTTTGACATAGCATTATCAAATTATTTCTAACCTTTTTATCCAATGAGAAAACTAGGCATAATGCATACCATTTTGTAGGGAATTTCTTAGAGATGATATTTCATGACTACTCAGATACCCAACGACTGACCTTATTAGTAGCAATGGAGGTCAAAGGTCAAATAAGTGCAAATTTTTTTGGAATTTTTCGATACTTTTTAATCTTCAAGCTAAAAATTAACAATGATGTATGTTGAAATAGGAAATTTGGAATATACTCACAAAAGAACATTATACTGTACTACATGAATTACATAAACTTTTTTTTCAATTCTAAATACAATGACTTTAAAGGGGTTGCTTAGCAACGGGGTATTTTTCAATTTTCGGGCAGTAATTTTCGTTTTTTGCTCATCCTAGACATATTCATGCATTACAGCACATTTTAAAGTCAGATATGAGGTCAAAAAATTAAAAGGGATATACAGCAGATAAATTGTCTTAAAGTTTGACCTCATTAACACTATTTTTAGGAGGTCAAAGGTCAAATTAGTGCAAAATTCATCAACTTTTTCAACACTTTTCAATATTCTTGCTAAAATTTTACAGAATGGATGCTGAAATAGAAAATTCTGAATACACTCTGAAGAAATCATCAGAACTGCAATATCCATACACCATTTCATTTCAAATATTTGTTAATTGACCTTTAAGTGGTTGCTTAGCAACAACATTTTTAATTTTTTGGCTGTATACACTGTATGTTTGTTATTGCTCATTCTAGACACTTTTTGTGTATTCCATGATATTATAAGTAAGATATAGGCCAAAATAATGTAAAGAACATTATTGAATTAAGTATTGACCTTGATACTTCTGTTCTTAGGGGGGTCAAGGTCATATCGGTACAGAATTCTGCCTTAAATTGCAAGTATATATCAATTTTAGAATGCTGCAATCACTACGGATATATCATCTAATAGATGACATAAACAAATTGTGAACAACAAAATCCTGAGAGAAACTTTAAAAAATGAATTAATCTTTTTTTTTTTTTGCATATCTTGGTTGCCATTCCAAAAATCCATCTAAAATTTGTGAACTGAAATAAAATTTGTCAGATGTGATTGCATGTAATTCAACGTTAATGACACACATATTAAAATAATATGGTAAAAAAAATAGAATTATCATAAATTTCCAATTTTTAACCGATTTCCTGTCTTTACTGAGTTACTTGTTAAAACAATTTTGTCATTTATTAAGCATGAAGAAACCTCACAAGATGGACAATGGATGGAACTTGGAATCTCTTTTTCAAATGAGTGGCTTTTGCATCACAATCCTTTCATTTATCTTATTTATGTGACATGTATTTGCTCATTTTTGCAAGCAAAGGATTCTGATCTGCTATTCTTCTCACAAACCCTTAGTCTATCATGCTATCAAAAGTCAGGATTGTTTACGTCACCTGAGAAATAAAGAGCATTTATAAAACGTGAAGTATCTCAAAAATAATTAACAAGCAGACATGTTTATTTGTTAGTAAGTTTGCAAGTCTTTATCTGCAATATAGGTTCCAGATTACATTATGTGCATATAATCTTCACGTTGGATGATATGCCATTGCAATTTCAAGAATGGAATGTTATCTTATGAATCATTGTTTACAAGGGTTTTTATTACTTAGACTAGAGAGTCAAGAAATATCCTGAATGAAGATATCGTCATTTACTATAGCACTTGCTGACTGGTCAAATGAGGTCAATAAACTCCAACCACAACTTGTGAAAATAATCCTGGCTTTTGATAGCAAGATAGACCACGGGTTTGTGAGAAGAACAGCAAATCCCTTCGCTGGTGAAGATGGCATTCACTAGCCATGTTTGATGAGAAACATTTGACTTGGTCTTTCAAGGCAATAATAAATTGACAATGCAAGTAATGAAAAATCAGGTTGTCAAAAATTTGAAGTACAATTTACAAACAGGGTTTCTTGTGTTCTAATTTTTAAAAAAAAAATTCACAACCATAATATCAAGTAAATTAAAAAAAAAAAAGCAGTACTTTCCACTAGTGCAACTTTGTTCCAATTTATGATGCATATTTACTAGCAAATTAAATTGAGAGACCCACAGGTCCTATACATTTCATGAAAGATGTGGCTAATAAAGGTTTTTAAAGAGCCATAGCTGCCTTACCGACGACACGACCGACTCAAGAATTTAAAAGGAAATCACCTGTTTCTATTTATAGATATACTGTACCTTTTCAATTCAAGAGCAAACTATCTAATATGGTTTGAGGACGAGTGTTGCAAGTATGTCAAATGACAATCATTTTACTTGTTCAATACTCTAATTCTGAGACAAAAGATTTACGCAGAAAATCAATAAAAATAAAACAAGTTGCTATGAATTTGCAAACTTTAATAAAATAGTTTAAGGACTGTCTTTTCCCGAGATACTTTCAAAGTGTAATGTGTAAATTATATCTTTCTGAAATTGTGTATGTTATAAAACATAATAAAGAAAAACGTAGAAAAGATACACAAAGAAAAAAATTTAAAAAAAAATATAAATGGAAAAAATGTGGGGCTCGAACTCGCAATCACCATATTTACATTCCAGCAATCATACCGCTGCGCCAACGAAGTCAATGATGTCAAGTTGATAAATTTAAGACAGATTACTAAATCTTACGATTATTTGAGAAGAAAAATTTAATATATATTTTCATCATTTTCAATATGAAGACCACCTTTGACCAAAATTATCTAAAGGGAATGAAGTGCAGATATATCCAAATAAAATTATTCAAAAGTTGTTTTTCTGGTTAAGGGTGGTCTTTGGCAACAGTTTGTCATCGTTAGGTGGATACCTCAATATTTACTATATATTCTATACAAACTGGATAATTTTCAAATTTATCATATGAGGGAACTATTAACATTTAAATATCATTATTGTGTGATTTGGTTTTACGCATGTATAAACTAAGACTGTATGACAAAATTTTGGTTAAAAAATGTATTTAAGAAATCACTACTAGAGTGGGCGAAAATGCCTATCAAATGCGCTATGGCTCTTTTTTTCTCACTCCAAAAAAAACAAAACAAAAAAAAAAATGACAAAAAGGTCTGGCTGAACAGTGATGGAAAAATCACATAACAGTAGCTACAACATGTATACAATCTTTCTGTTAAACAAAAACAAATCCATTTTCTTGATGCCATTAAAAATACCCTATGCTTCATTGATTCCCCCCCCCCCCGACTTTAAATTTAACAAGAAAAAATAAACTAATAGATTTCATTATAAGATTTTTCTGGTAACAGTGCTTAAAGACCCAATTTTTTTACCGTACGGTTACCTGAGGAGGGGGAGTGGTCTTGGTAGTACTGTTGTTATTTACCTGGAGAGCCCCAATACTCAAGATGTCAAAAATCCCTATACACGCTGCATTACACAGGAAGTCCGGCTTTTGTTAATCAGGGTCAACATTGCGGGTTTTGTGCATAATTTTGAGTGATAATATTTAAAATAAATTATATACTGAAATATAAAATTTGTAGACTTGGCGTTTTCGTCGATATCTTTAAAAACTTGAAGATAAAAAAAAGACATACCTTTTTTAACAATTGTAAAATAAAATTTAAAAAAAAAGAGTGAAAACTACAAAGCAATCGTATCAATATTTTAATCGCCAATAAAAGAAATTATTATAAAATATTAAGTGTGAATATTGAAATAAAAATTAAGATTTCAGTAAGTCTTACTGTGTGGACATTTACCACGATCGGAATATTATTCACTTTTCTGGCGAACAATGGTGTCCAAATATTCGCCATTTCTGAGGGTCCGTGTTCCTAAGCCCTGTTTATAGATTTGGATATAAAAAGAATCTTTATAATTTATAGCGTTAGATACAAGATACTTTATATTAGTATAAATATCTTTTCTTATTTAATCCATTGCATTTGTTGTAATTTTCAAATGGTGGGGGAGGGGGTCGATTGTTTCCAATTACGGCTAATTGAGTTTCTGTGTACCCAAGTTCAAGGTCGACAAGGGCATTACGTACATTCTTTAAATCAAGGCAAGGGTTGAATAAGAGGCTCGGAAGAATTATCGGTCTGTGCTGCTACAGAAACTTCTCTCTTCGGATCTCAGTTATTGAAGGAAAAAAGGGCTTGAATATCCGCTAATTTTTCTTCGAAAAGTTCTACAGTTATCTTGGACGTCATATCGCTAGCAAGTACAAAACAGCAGTGGAGATTGAAAAAAAAAATCACGAAGTCACTGTTTAATTATCTACTCTCAATTATTTTTCAAAAATAAAATTATCAACCAATATAACAGGGAGATGATTTTTTTTAACCAGAGTGTATACAAAGCGACCTCTCACGCGGTACATGAAAGCGTTTGACGCGTGACCAGTTGATTGTTTTCAAAGCATGCAAACTCAGATTATCAGGTAGCCCATGTAACTGGCCCGTCAATCAAATCAGAAGCTATTGTTTTTTTAATGATTGACAGGCGGTATACTATTGATCTTGAATTGGGTAGATTTTGTGGGCGTTAACATAAAATTGGGTGTTTAAGGGGTACAATAAAGACTTGACATGTCATCTTGGAGGAAAAAAAATAATAATAGATGGCATTGGCAATATCTAATGCAAAACTGTTTAGTCAATAAGTTGAAAAAGTTATGTTTTTATACAAATATACAAATCCAGAAATATTGCAAGCTGAATTCCAAATCAGACTGATTTAATCTTCCACAAAATGTTGAAGACCAGAGCACTTTTACTTTGTGGCCACCATTCTTTCATCAACTGTCATTTCTCTGAAAGACTGGAGGAATTTCTTTGACTTGTCTAAGACATGATCATTTTCTGTTAAGTACATGTAATCAGCTACTATCCTGTAAAAGATTTAAATATTTTGAAACAGATTATGTGAATTTACATATATAAAATTAGAATGTGACAATTAATACATTGATGTTATTTTCCTTCTAAAATCAAAAGTATATTTATGTGATTCATGTAGTTAAATGATATTGTTAAGTCAATGTATCAGGACTGAAAAATCATCAACCTAGTAATAACCATCATGGTTGAATTATTGAACTAAAAGAAATAGCATACCTGGCTGTCAGGGTTGTTAAGAGAAAGGACACAATGGACTGAAAACTGTTACTTCAGGGCAAAATTCCTAGGGCAAGGCTGTTCATGTACATGGGAGTGTTGATATATAGCCATCCAGTGAACATAGTTTGTCCATCCATGTACATGATAATTTGAAAATGACTGAAAATTGAGAAAATGGAAATTCTAACCACATAGTTTACTAGATTGAAAATACCACATCAGTCTATAAAAGACTGCTTGTTCCCTTTCTGGGCATAAATTCGAATAAATATTTGTGTTTAAATAGTGTGTTTAAATGTATAATCATAAATCATAAATATCATGTGTATCACACACTTTTTTCAAAATATAAATCAAATTCTTATAAACTTGTGTGAATGCAATATCAAGAGAATGCAATTAAAATTTCACTTTGTTTAGAATTTTTAGAGATACAGACACTTTCACTACCAAAACAAAAATTTACCTGTTCGTTGGTCATAATAAGCACCTGTGTCCCCACATAATGATCTTTCTAGTGCATGGTGGGGTTAGCAATTGGGTCTTCACTGATGAAAGTACTGAAGCAACACAAAATTGGCTGAACTAGTTTCAATCTAAAATACAGTACGAGATGCAAACACTGAAACAGGGTAACGCCTAGATCACAGGAGTCAGTAGTTTTAACCATAAAACAATGTAAACACTAACCATTGAGCTTCGCGAGTGAGGTCGCTACGCTCGCGAAGCTCACTGGTTAGTGTTTACTTTGTTTTATGGATAAAACTGCTGACTCCTGTGTCTAGATACATGAGGACCTAGTACATGTGTACATTTTGTTTTCATTTGAATGTGAATTAATGCGTTTTAAAGACAGTTTTAACTCTTCAGTCAATACTTACTCACCTCTAACTGTCTAATAACAAAGGAAAGACCGTATTATTTGATGCATTGATGTGATGTTCTTCGTTGTAAAATAATCATGAAAACATCATCATGTTGTTGTTTACTGCTACAGCGGAAATCTCAATTCGTATCAACTCTTACAGTGATGAGTCGTGTAAATGCGAGTTTTTCACTCGGCACACCTCGGCCGATTCGTACCTCATCTAACCTAGGTTGTATCATGTAAACCTCCATTGAACCGGAGCTACTTTATACGCAATATGGCTGCGCCCTATAATTACACGTGCACACTGTGCTGAATTCGATCCGTTAACAGACATGTGATTATGTAAAAATACTAAGTACATGTATCTTGGTAATTGTTATTCTTAGTGTTACTTAAATGCTTTTGAAAATTTTTATCGTATGTCAGATGGATGTTTATTATCGTTTTCAAAGCGTTACGTTTTCCCTACGCGGTAAACAGGCAGCCTTATCACAAATGTTAAGCGGAGACGCATATCAAGTTTCCTCGTACAGCCGAGGTTTGATGAAGGTGACGGAATCAGCCGTGGTTTGCCGAATGCGAGTTTTTGTGCTTGTTTCAAAGTTGTTAAATTCCGTGTCAGTATACATGGTATAGATCTAATTAAATTTCATATTAAGAAAATATATCACATACAGCAATATTAAATCTGATTTTTTTTGACGTAAAGACGTTTAGGGAATCTACATTTCGTATCAACATTATTGTACATGTAATATAGATAAAAAAAATTCATTATATTAAAAAATTAAACTTCACAAAAGGTAGAAAGATGGTATATATGTTTTTCAAACAATTATTTTGTATTAAGCATTTATTTCATTAAAAGTATATATTAAAATAGTACTTATTATGTTATAAAACAATATTTTGTTCCGAGTAAGACACAACAGAATCGACCTTGACGTTAAATATTGATTGCCCGCGATTTTTCTATAAAAATTATGCAAAGGTCACAAATTCAAACTATCGTTATTAAGAAAATACTGAGAGTAAGAAGATCAGTAAAGGCTTGTTGAAAAGGAAATTTTCTCTACTTTTACCAGCCTTATTTTGTTTTCCCTATTTCAATACAGAAATACACGTAAACATGAGCTTTGTTTAAATATTACGATTAAAAACGAGAAAAAACACATAAGTGCAAGAAAATTCTTGCTTTTACAAAATATTTTAAAGTAATTATAACAATAATTTTTACATATTTTAAAAGCAGAGAAAATATGCTTTAAGAATATATCACACTTTCTTTATTATGTTAATCAGGAAAAAAATGTCAATCGTACGGAAAATCGTTAATTGCTTTGGAAAATTGCGCCATTTTCAAAAAGTCATGTATGTCTTCAAAACGTAAAATCTATTTATTACCGACATTAAGACATAAATTTTCTACATAGTTTTGAAATAGAGAAAATTTCCAAAAAGATGATATATAGTTTATATACCTTTATGCTTTCATAAAATAAATACAGAGATCTTATTTTCGCGAAGTCGTGTTTTAACGCGCCACCGGTCAAATTGACCGGTGTGGAAGTGAAGGGGTTAAGGTTGTCCGCCGTGATTTTCTCCAAGCTTTGCGGAGAGAAAGACCGGTATTGACAAACAACACAGAAGAGTTGATTTATCATCAAGACAATGCTCCAAGTCACAGGGCAGAGGAAACAGAACTGGAATTAGACCTCTTGGGATTTCGGAGACTCAAACATCCGCCCTACACGCCAGACCTCGCTCCCCTGGATTTTGCGTACTTTCCTGCCTTGACAGGACATTTGCGAGGACAGAGATTTCAAAATTTGACCGAAATTCGTCGTGAACTGTCCAAATTCAACAGAGCACTTGGACAAGAGTGGTTCAGAAATGTGTTCAATGCATGGGTAAAACTGCACGAGAAATGTCTATCACATTGTGGGCGCTATTTTGAAAAGGAATAAATGTGACGTTCATTTCATGTATAAAGACTACAAACGACGTCATGACGTTGTCGGCGTTGCGCCGACAGCACTTATGTTAGATTCATTTTAATGGCAGAAAAAAAATATTTATGGAGATATTTCATTAAAACTTCTATGTTATTTTCAATAAATGTTGATTATAATCTGTGCCAATTTTTAACTTTATAGTATTAATGAAACGGAAAATATTTAAAAATTTCGCGTTTTTCTGGGACAACCCTCGTAAAGGTGTGCACATTGAGACCATTTTATTCATTTTCAACATAGGGTACCTACCTTATTTCTGCAGGAAAAATGTTCAAAGACAGTGCATGGACTATGCTGAACAGAAATCGTTGTTTACCAACATTGGGAAAATTAATGGAAATAATGAATTCAATTACTTATCCTTGGTCTAATATAATGCTACGAATATTTTCATCTATTACAAATTGTGTAATTAACCATACATAACATTTTTTCTATCTTACTTCTAAGGGCAGATCACTCTAACTGTATAAAACTACCCTACAATTAGAACTCTTTAGTGTGCAGTGTTTAGAGCTTCCTTAAGTATAACTTTTTGAACCTTGGTAGGTTAATTCTTTTTCTTTGTCACAAATATGCAATTAAGTGAAATCAGTTCTATTTGAAGTTGATACAGTTGAAAATATTGTGGTATTTAATAATTAAAAAAAGAACTGCATTCAAAAGTAAGCTCTGCTTTTCTTTTCCGTTTGCTAGAAAAAAACTCAAAATGTTTAATCGAGTATATTTCTATATGAAGAAAATATTATAGTCACTTCGGGCGTGGACACCCATACCCCCCTCCAATATATTTTTCCCTTTGAATTCTGGATCTAATTTTGGGCTTGATAGTCTTATTAATTTACAGAGGCCGTTTCAGATGATCCCTGGCTACGCTTCCCATCGGTACTTCCATTAGTGTTGTGCTTGAACGAGAGTACATGTATGATGCTTGTAGGTCAGGAAATGTTGGTAAAAACAGCGTTGATACTGATTTGATAACTGCTGAATAGTTTATAGCATTATTTAGTGTGACCGGTCGACAGAGATGCTTACTCCTCCATGGCACCTGATCCCACCTCTAATGCTCCAAATTTGTATGTCTTCAATGGACTTTTGAGCTTGAGTACTGTTCTATATCATCCATTTCATTGTAATGAAAGTGTATCACGTAATTAGGAAAAGATTGTTAACTTTATTCTCAGCAAAGATTTCATAAATAGTGAGCCGCAGTGCATACATTCAAATACATTCTAATTTCTCAAGCACTTCTCTACATCCAGATGCTGACTTTTCTTTGAATATCTATTCAAGACAAACATATACCTAGTATTTAAGAATGGCTCATTTCTTTATGTACAACTCAGAACATTGAACAGGTTATAAGCTGTGTTCATCACTCAGAAAAATCAGCCCCGCCAGGGAAGGTCTGAAAAATAGTTATCACATGTTTCATAAAATGTTGTTCAGTACACTTTTGCATTAATGTTTTTAGTGTTTTGATATCTCTTTTATTTCATGTTAAGTAAACCTTGCATGACATAATGTGTATTTAAAACTTTATCAAAAATTTGGCATCATTTTTACACGAATTCCAAACTTAAAGACAAGTAAAACTGTTACAATATATTTGGATTTTGAAAGGACGGGGACTTGTATTCAGTCTCAGAAATCCTTCACTTACATGATCTTCTCGTACAACGTCTCACACAGTCGAACTTTGTCTTGAAGTTGTTTTGATTTCCTCTACATCCGCCGTAAGAAAATAGTTCACATCGATTAGTCAATTTATTGTACCACCAACGTCTGAAGGCTCCCCTACACGGGCCAACAACCTTAGACTGATAACAGACACCTTTTGATGGAGCTGAAGCAAGAATTCAAAGTCTTATTAAGTTTTGATAATTTAATTCCAAGCAACATTGAGCACAACACACTTTAGAGCAGATCTTTCTATCATTTGATATTATTTACCGAATCTTTGCAGTGAAGCACAACTCTAAGAACTTGAGAATACATACTTCCAAGACACTAATACGCAATACATACTCTGAAGACAATGTCATATTATTTCTCAAACCTAACACTATGAACTATATTCACCGTTTCACAGTCCCATTATGTTTTCTCTTTATGATTATCTTTTATTCCACTTACATTTAACACATGCTCTTTTTGTACAAAACACGCGTCCATTTGAGCCACAGGAACATCTGTTGCAGCCATCAATTGATGGAAAACGCTGACCAACCCTGTAATACCTTCCGTTGTACCGACAACCTACAAATAATAAATCTCACAAGTTTTTGCTCACTGTGTTATACATTCCTTTGTATATACATGTACAACCTACAAACAATAAATTATTAGAAATTCTTGTCCAGATTGTAATACCTTTCGGTGTATCAAAAATCTACAACAAGTTTGACAAGCTTTGATCGGTTGTATTTACAATTTACAATGCTCTGACATACGCTTTTGTATCTCCCGTCGTATTTTCAACTTACAAAGAACAAATTTAACGTAGATTGAAAATAGTTTTATGTTCTCACACAAATAATTAAGTAAAATATCAACACAGCATTTGTCTGTCTTTTTTCCTCGTATGAACTGAGAATTCATTGTAATTATAAATAATATCATAATTATTTTGCATTAATTTTTGCTTCATAGAAATTGTTCATCTTACACATACATGTGTTCTTTATCGATTATTGATCACAATACTTTACCTAGGCTAGTCTAACGAATCGTAGAAATAGCGTCATTTTCCTGTTCAGTTAAGAGCAATAAAATTTTAATGTAAATAGTCTGAGGAAAAAAGTCTTCTTTCATCTATCAGTTTTCTGAATACTTTCTACTTTATTCCATAAATTATTCTATACTTACCCCTACATATTCTCTTTACTGACACACTGCCAGGCCTATCTGACCAACACGTACTACTCCATTTTATACCTATGTCTAATGCATGCTCTTTCCGCGGTTGAAACGCCAGTCTGACCAACACGTTCTACAGTATTTTACTGTATACTTAAGCCTAATGCATGATCTCCCTGTACAACTGACCCACCCATCGGGCCTACTTTACTGTATACTTACGCCTAATGCATGCTCTCTCCGTACAATTGACACGACCATCGGACCCACATGAACTACTTTACTGTATACCTACGCCTAATGCATGATCTCTCCGTACAACTGACCCGCCCATCAGACCTACTTTACTGTATACTTACGCCTAATGCATGCTCTTTCCGTACAACTGACACGACCATCGGACCCACATGTACATCTGTTACAGCCATCTGTTGACGGGAAACTCTGTCCAGGTCTGTAAGTTCTATAGTTGTATGTGCATTCTGCGTACGACATTAAAAAATCCTTTATCCTTAGAAAGCATAATTCATTATTGACATTGAGTATGTTCACTTTCATTTTGTCAAAAATGTATTCAATCTATTAAATTTAAATTTTCTAATCCCTCGTTATAAAATCTGCTTAATAGGTAACGATGCGAATTTAAGAGATCTTATGTTAGTAAGATTGAAACTGAACTGGTAGCTCAAGATAATCTAAATAAAGGGATAATTCCGTAGGGCACAGTAAAGACACTTGCTTTCTACCACTTAATATTTAACAAAATTGCAGTACTTACTTGTGGCACACGCTATGAGTGTACAGATGACCTGTCCATTAGATCTACACGTACATCTGTTACAGCCATCCCCAGCAGGAAAACTCTGTCCAACCTTGTAAAATCTACCGTTATACCTACATACTAAAAAGTAGAGTCTACCCTTATACCTATATACTAAAAATAGAATCTGCCGCTATACTTACATACTAAAAAGAGATTTTACCTTTATACTTACATACTTGAAATAGAATCTACCGTTATACCTACATACTTAAAATAAAATCTACCGTTATACCTACATACTAAAAAAAGAATCTACCGTTATACTTATATATTAAAAATAGAATCTTCCGTTATACCTACATACTAAAAATAGAATCTACCTTTATACCACATACTAAAAATAGAATCAGACGTTATACCCACATAAATCTACCGTTATACCTACATATTAAAAAAAGAATTTACTGTTATACCTGCATACATAAAACAATATCAATCGTTAAACTTACATGCTAAAAAAGAATCTACCGTCTTACCTACATACTAAAAAACCAATCGTTATACCTAGATGCTAAAAATAGAATCTGCAGTTTAACCAACATACTAAAAAGAATCTACCGTTATACCTACATACTAAAAATAGAATCAGACGTTATACCTACATACTAAAAATAGAATTTATCGTTATTCCTACATACTTAAAATAGAATCAACCGTTATACCTACATACTAAAAAAAATCTACCGTTATATCTACACACTAAAAAACCCACCGTTATACCTACATGTACAAGCTAAAAATAGAATCTACCGTTCTACCAACACACTAAAAAGAATCTACCGTTATACCTACATACTTAAAATAGAATATACCGTTATACCTACATAATAAAAATAGAATCTGCTGTTATTCCTACATACTAAAAATAGAATCTAACTTTATACCTACATACTAAAAATGGAATCTGCCATTATACCTACAAACTGACAAAAATGCACTGCTATACATGTACATGCATACCAAAAAATAAAAATAATCTACCGTTATGCGTATAATGTAAATATAAGAGAAAACTAACTCTTAACTTTTCAGTCGCCCGCGTGGCGCAGTGGTTAGAGAATTCGCTCTAGAGTCGCGGAGTAAGGTGTTGATCCTTACGTCGCGGGTTCGAATCCCACTGTGGGACGTTTAGACCGGTCCTTCGGATGAGACCGTATAAACCGAGGTCCCGTGTCGCAGTAGGTGCTGGCACGAAAAAGATTCCTCGCTGCTCAATGGCCCTTAGTGTCGAGTATAGGTCAAAATTTGCAGCTCTCCGCCGGTAAGTGGTGGCGTCTCCATATGAGTGAAAGGTTCTCGAGAGGGACGTTAAACAATAAACAAACAAACATACAAAACTTAACTTTTCATAATACATGTATCATTTTAATTTTTAATCTAATAAACTGCCAAAAGTGTTAGAAGAGCGCTAGCCTTATAAAAAAAGTTCTGATTTTACACGAAATTATTGTGAAAATTAACAGGTAAACATGCGATGATCCGATGAAATTCACATATCAGAAAAATTAGTATTTGATTTTTATTTTTGCTCCTTTTTTCAAGATAATTTGTAGTTAATAAGATACCTTTGCTCATGAACAAAAAGAAACAATCAATATTGACTAAACTTTCTTTTAGATTTATCTATTTCATGAAGAATAAATTAAATATAAATATGAAGGCTTTTCGGAAATTATGGAGACATTGTGTTTATTCTCCTTTCTAATGAAAGTCTTTTGGTGAAAATTGGCATATATGTTTTACAAACACTAACAATAAATAAAAACAAATAATTAAGATTTTTTTTTTCAATAGAATATTAATGCGTCTATGGTAGGAGAACTCAGCGTTATCACAAAATCAAAAAATGAAAGTCCGTTACTAGTAAGTACTAAATTCCTGTGGACATACAGTGTATAGTAAGTGGGAAAATTATCATTTGTGTAACTTTCAATTTTATTTTGACTTTATTTTGTGCAAGTTTGATGGGATTTTGATCAGAAATGTGGAGATATTAAAAACATTCATCATGGTATAGAAATCTGATTTCGACGGCAAAGCAAAATGAATTTGACGTTTAAGAGGAGCAGCGGCATACATGAAATTTTATATAGCGCAAATAATGAAACTCCTGTTCAGACCAAAGAACCGCTTAAAGAAAAACAGAGCGAAGGAAATGTGCCTAAGGGCTTGGGATATGATCGAAATAACTCTTTCTGATGAAATATTCTACCAGAATGGGGAAGAATTAGCCAAATAACCATCAAGTATTACGTAAATAAATAAACAAATAGCGTCAGCGGTGGTTATGTCAGTATACAGCATGCATGATGGTATCCAAACTACAGATCATATTTCATTGCAATTTGACATTGGGGTTGCAACAACACACAACATTTCAACAACAAATTTATAAAAAGAGAGAGCTTGATTTCTGAAATGTTTTTAAGTGATGACATGGAGAGAAGAGTTAAAGCTTCCCGGTACGAAATAAATGACGGTTGAAGTGACGTTAATATGACGTAGCAAAAATCTCTCCGGACTTTTCCAGGTCAAAAAACATAAGGAAGTCTTTAATTTTACCAGGACTGGAATGATATGCTATTAATTAGAAAATTTTGCACACTCGGTATACATGTATTTGATTCTGATAAAATGTTGGCGAATTTTCATGAATTGATCTCTTTCTCTTACGGAGTTTAATGTCTCAATAATTACCGAACAGCCCTCTTATTGTACAGAACTCACCTTCTTTTTTTCCGCCCTCGGGAACTTCACATCGTGTTCTACACCCACACCCAAAAGAACAGCACTTCTGAACTATATACAATAAAAGAAATAATTAAATTGTCAATGATTAATTAGTTAATAAGCTAGTAATTAATTAAGTACTTGTTAAACAACCGTCAAAAATCAAAAATGCAATTCTCTGTTTTTTAGGGTAAGGAACTCGGGTTTTGTTGTTGTTGTTGTTTTTAAGTGTCTTGGTATCTGCATCTACATATATTTAGATCTTCATCTTTGTAGTTTTACCTTAGTAGATAAGCAACAGAAAATATGAATATATGTAAAATAAAATAAACTGAAATTTGATAGGTCTCTTTTTTGATAAATGAAATATTTTTGTACGGTAATTTTAATAAGCTAGTTTTAAAACATCGAGATGGACTCTTGAATTCTTTTTAATTACCACCTACCTCCGGGACAATCTTGGTCCCCGTTACACCGTATATTAGCCAGATTACAATCACATGGTGTTATTTCGTTAGACACGGGGCATCTCCCTGGTTTAACAAGAGGGGGACGATTTGGGCTGAATCGGTCTTTTTGTGCACAGACCTGTAAAACGGTCAACTTGTAAGTCAACCATCGGATATGAAATACTGAGAGATACATGTAGTTTTAATTATATATAAGCTTTAGAGGGTCAGTCTTGATTTTTTTTCTCTTTGATAAAGGAAATATAAGATAAAATTTCTTCCATTTTTCCCGACGAACAATTTTTTTATTTTCTATAAATTAGCGACGATTATTCCACAGGTATTCCTTGAAATTTTAATTCACGTATATAACCAATTCTGCATACCCTTCACTAGACAATATGTGAAAGAAATTAAATATATAATACATACCACTGCAAATAAAATACATATGACAATTTTCCCAACCATTCTAAACAACTGATTGAATATTAACAACTACATTGCATGTAAAACCTATTTATATACTGAAAGGGGCTAAACTTATTCTTCTCTGTATTGATTGGATAAATCCCTCTTCATAGTTATTTATTGCATCGAATAAAGCTATTTCACTGGTTTATGATAGAGTTTGTTTTGTACTCTTTTGGCTTTATCATTGGTTTTTAATTTTAATAATACATTTAATGGAGTTTTATTTTATTTTTGTTCAAAGTGCTATATATTGAGAGAAAAGAAATGTGTGACTTATCTGAAGTCGGTTCAACTTTCATCCTTTAACGGGTGTGACATAACTCAACGATATAAACATTATTCATCTTTTTAAAAAAATCTTTACATAAGTGTAAACAAGACTTTATAAACACACAAATGTGCCGTTTATAGATATAATTACTAGATGAGTATATTTATTGTAAATGATTATGTTATATAAAAGCATTTATAAAAGATAATATTATATGCTTAAACGTTTCGTAAAGTTAAAACAGACTGTTTTTTTTAATCTTCTACACTTTCTGAATATTTTTCTTATTTAGATTGAAAACAGGATTCGTTCATTCTGATTCTCTATGCATATAATATTATTCTATCTCTGAATATGCCCCTCTGAATGTTCCCCGCCCGTTCATTGTTAAGAGTTATATCTACTGTTGTTTGAAAGGATTAGTTATGTATAACTTAAAAGTAACAGTGGATATAATTCGTATATATATGAGAGCTGTAATACTCCACAATCTATGTTTACACGTTGAGATTACACTGTTTTGCAATAAAACTGATGTCGATAATATCGTATGAAAGACGTGAAGGTAGTTGAAAGAAAATGTCCATCGATTTTTTTTTCTGCAAAAGTGTATTTGTAAACTTATTCTCAATGGTTATAATTTTTGAAATATGCAGGTATTTGTGTTATGCCCCTACAATATTCTATCAATATTGTTTTTCATGATTAAGAAAGCACAGACTTTTACAATTATGAAATTTGTATAATTAAATGAAATTAAAAATGGATTTTAATCTTGTAAACACATTCAATATTTTATCATGCAGTTTAACACTTATAAAACCGAACGGATGCATTTTCCACAACGGTAATAACATATACTGAAACGCAAAAAGAAACGCAACATCCTATTTTAGGGGGAAATATTATATACAGGATAAAATTTTGTATCTAAAAGGTAAGGACATCTTCAACTTTGTAAATATCGGTAATTTAACGGTTGAATGATTTTCATAACCATTACCGGAAGTTAAGTTTGAGTCTGCTTAACAGAAATCAAAATTGCATGTTTAACAAAACATTTGGCAATAATATGGGGTTTTAAGAGTTTGTATCTGTTCATCATAAGTAATGAAGCAATGTTACGAAAAATAAATTCTCCTTTCTTTTCTGTAAGCGATGCCAAGGCTTCCTAAAAATGACTTAAGCACGCTTTTCCATTGCTCTAGCTGGAAAATATCAAAATAAAGGTGATGGAGAGTTGCAGATGCAAATATGCAACACATCACGCCTCAACAGGCTCTCACGTATCATTAGTATGAATGACAGTCCTTGGACAGGAAGTCCAAGGGTCACTACACTGCGCTTGGCTAGAGAAAATTCGACCTCATCATCTGAAAAAACAGGCATTTAAAATTGGCAAAGAATATTTCTTTCGCTCAGATCTCGAGATTGATGAACCTACTGCATCGTAGAAATCAAGCTGCAACTGTTGTACATGGCAGTCTTGCACGCTGTAATTGAATGGGGGGGGGGGGAGGTTAACATTCATGTGTTACTTTATAAACTTAAGTTAAAAGATTATAATTTAACATTTATATCAAATCTCTGATGTTTATAAATCGAGTTTTACCTTACTGTATTCATTTTTGAAGATCATTAGATAAAAAATTCAAATATTTGTAGATTACTGCTTCTTGCGTTTTTTTTGTGTTTCAGTATATTTACTTAGTCATAACGGAAAAACTTACTTGTTATAACGAGTTAATATTTCAGTTAGTTTTATCGTTCTTACAATTGATTTATTTCGTTATAGTGAGATAATAATCACGTTATAACGAAATAGCTAATTTGGTATTAGGACATCATTTTCTCTCCATATAAGAATAGAAATGGCAGTAGTTTTTAATAAGTTTTTTGCGTTATGCATTATCATAATTATCACTATATTACTACATGTAATTGTTGGCTTAAAGTCAGTTACATGTAATTGGTGGCTTAAAGTCAGTTACTTGTAATTGGTGGCTTAAAGTCAGTTACATGTAATTGGTGGCTTAAAGTCAGTTACATGTAATTGTTGGCTTAAAGTCAGTTAATGGATGTTTGGAGATATCTTTCATGCTAGGGCTTAATTATGATAAAGTCTTGATACGTCTTGCAATAAATAATATTGAATTAGTAAGCAACTTTTAATTAACACATTATAACTGTACTGAAAGCCATTCATAAGCAGATATTTGTACTATTTTCAGTAGTGAATAATAATCAAACACAGGAACTTTTATTTGCAATATCAAATAAAAGGAAATTTAAATGCCTCAGGTGAAAAGTTAGGCAGATCGTGGTGCATATGTACCCAATAAACATACAAAAATATTCCCAACACTCAACATCAATTTGAATTAACATATCTATATTAGATTCTGAAACTTCATAAAACTTTTAGAAATAAAGATACATAGCAGGTTCCATAAATGTTCAACCAAGCCTCTTTCTTTACTCCTTACTGAAATATTAACAGTAGTGAAGGGGAAACTTAAGAAGTACTGCGCAACAATAAAATCGAGAATTAACTCTTGTAAATCAGATGTGGATACTTAAAAACTCCAAGGAACCTTTGGAAAATTTGAAATCACAAACATTTACCAAAATCAACAACATAAAAACTTATGACTTTTCAACTTTATATACAACCATTCCCCACGATAAATTAAAGTCCAGGCTTTTTGATATCGTTGGCAGCTGCTTTTTCAATAAAAATGGAACTTAATTAAGTAAATTAACTTAAATTGTCAGTGGTCATTTGCAAAATTATTTTGTTAAAAAACATTATGATTATACACAAAAGTACTCTGAAGTTGACATTAAAAAGATGCTTGAGTTTCTGATTGACAATATCTATGTGGTCTTTGGAGACCAGGTCTTCCAACAATCTATTGGAATTCTCATGGTACTTACTGCACCCCGTTATTAGCAGACCTATTTATGTATTCATATGAAGCAGAATTTGTTCAAAATCTTATGCGTGAAAAAAAGAAAACACTTGCTGTGGCCTTCAACTCGACATTTAGATTTATCGACGACGTATTGTCAATAAACAATGGTTATTTCCATTCCTATCTCGATACGATATATCCCGGTGAGCTTGAAATAAAAGATACAACAGAGTCTGACTCATCTGTTTCATATTTGGATATTTAAAAAAAAATACTAGAAAAAGACGTTAATGATAATCTAGCAACAAAGCTTTATGATAAACGTGATGACTTTAACTTTTCAATCGTCAACTTCCCTTACTTATACAGTAATATAACTTCATCATCAAGCTCAAATGCAGGTGATTATGGTATATTTCTACATAAACAAGGGAAGATGACGATAGAAATCATCACGTTTATCATAACGTTACATTGTTAGTTTTCCATCAACAATTTCTTAAGTAAACGTCCAAATGTAAAACAGAATAAGTCACACTTTGTGTTGTCTTTTATTTCAAGTTCATTGGGATACATCTTATGACGTACGAAAGAACATGAATATTGTCAATAGATAAACAGTCATCGCTATATCTAAATGTCGAACTGAAGGAAACAGGAAGACACTTCTTGTTTTCAGGTAGCAATTTTTAAATAATTCATCCTCAAAAAAAAAAAAAAAAAAAATAATAATACAAAAACAGGGTTGCTTATAATGGGATACAATCAGAACCTAAGGGAATTGCAAGAGATTGTTGGAAAAGCTGGTCTCCAAAGACTATAGAGATATATTGGAAATGTGTTACTCAAGCATCTCAATCCGAGCTGTGTGTAGCTGTAATTTCTAATTTTTTTTTCAGAACAAGTAGCTCTACAACCATCCCATACAACTGAAGCATATTCGAGATTAGGGCGTTTAAATGGGGTATGCAAGAGTGAAAGAGATCTTCGATTGGTTTTAATTTTCAGTATTTCTTATAGACACATTTTTTATGCATTAGACAGTAAGATTTCAATATGAGAATCATGTAACCAATTGAAGTTAAATCAAAAGGTCATTCCTAAAAGCTAATGAGTTTATTTTTTTCTAATTGGTTATCTTGTTTCAGAGGTTTAAAAAGATTCTTCTGTTATAAAATACACCGTTAGTCTTAGAGAGATTAAATTTTAGTAACAATTTTAACACTCTTCCGAAGATTTACCGAAATTATTCAGATTACTATATATAAATTTGACATATTTTGATGCGTAGTCGTCTAGAAATAATATAACAAAAATTGACAGCTTCTCAGCTGCCTCATTGACATAGATTGAAGTAAAAATGGACCTAATACAGAAGCCTAAAGTGCCCCGACATGTCGTGATGCCGGAGAAGATATTACATCACCCTATGTTCTCTTTACTAGATATAACTCTGAAACCAAAGATAAATATTACTCTCAATACATGTTTAGCTTACGGTAGATAAGAGCTCTTTTTGTCAGACAAGATCAAAGGCTTTGGCTAAGTCACAAAAAAATCAAACAAGATTTTCCCTCATCTATATTTCTAACAATGTTGTACCATTAGATAGAATGACAAATAAAAAACAGCGCTGTTTATGTAAAGATATTACAATTAAAACAGTAAAATACAATATGCTTTCCATAACTTTACTAAAACGACTTTCAGACGGGTTTTTAGTTAGACAAAACAGCAAGATCAACTTTTATAAGCGTGGAATAATATTTATTCCTTTTTTTTCGGAAAAGCAGTTTCTTTCCATAAACGATTAAATAGAAAACAAAGAAGGTTTTACAATCGACGATTTTGTTGCTTTTAACATTTTGTGACAGTCAGTTACTATGTTTTTTTTTTCTCCAGGAACTATAGTTAAATATAAATAATGTTTTGTTTACATATACAAATATTGTCAAACACGTCTTACATAGGAATTTCTGGCATTAATCAGTACAGCCATCGTTAACACGTAATAGAAGCAGAGTAACCATAAAGTATATCTATCTTCATCAAAAAAGAAAAATAACATAAAACAAGGGGTATTGTAAAGAACAATGTCAGTTGTTATTGTTTTAAAAATATCCTTGATAAGTTTCCAATTAAGTTTAGAATTGTTTTACTGGTATCAGTTAGTTGTAACTCAATGTTATTCTTATAATTTTCGGTTGCATGTTTTTTCATGTTGTTAAATATGTTTATAGAGCGCTTTAACCTATCCCTGTCCAGCGGTTTATTATTTTCCTCTTCAGAGAGTGTTTTCGTAGTACATAACCAAAACAACAACAACAACAACAACAAAAAACAAAAAACAAAAACAAAAAAAAAAACAAAAACAAAAACAAAAAAAAACAAAAAACAAACAAACAAACAAAAAAAACAAAACAAAACAAAACAAAACAAAAAAAAAACCAAAAAAAAAAAAAAAAAAAAACAAAACCAAAAAAAAAAACAAACAAAAAAAACAAGAGGCCCACGGGCCTTATAGGTCACCTGAGTATCATGCAACAACTTCGCCACAATGGATTCATGTTTTAAACCAGAGGCCATGAAATTCACAATTTCGAAAGAGGCACACTTGCTCATCATAATTTTACATTGAGTAAGCTTACTTAATACCCAGAAAGAGAGCAGAGGATTATCAATGAATTAATGCATTTTCACTATGTAATCATTAGAGCCCTGCCCTAACACCAGAACCATGATGCAGGGGCCATAAAATTCACAATTTTGGAAGAGGCATCCTTACATATCATAACAATACTCTTAGTTCATCAGCTTAATACCCAGGAGAAAAGAAGAAGATTTTCAAAGAATTTTTGCATTTTTACTATGTAATCATTAGAGCCCCACCCTAACACCAGAACCCCTGACCCAGGGGCCATGAAATTCATAATTTTGGAAGAGGCACCTTTACTCATCATAACTATGCATCAGTTTGTTTGTTAAATACCCAGGATCAAAGAAAAAGATTTTTAAAGAAATAATGCATTATCACTATATATTCAACAGAGCCCCACCCTAACCCCAGAACCCCTGACCTAGGGGCCATGAATTTCACAATATTGGAACAGGCACCCTTACATATCATAACTATACTCTTAGTTCATCGGCTTATTACCCAGGAGAAAAGGAGAAGATTGTCAAAGAATTATTGCATTTTTACTATGTAATCATTAGAGCCCCGCCCTAAAACCAGAACCCCTGACCAGGGGGCCATGAAATTCACAACATAGGAATAGGCACCCTTATTCATCATAACTATGCCTTCAGTTTGTTTGCCCTGGATCAGAGAAGATTTTTAAAAGAAATAATGCATTTTCACTATACATGTATATTCAACAGTACGCTGCCCTAACACCAGAACCCCTGACCCTGGGGCCATGAAATTCACAATTTTGGAAGAGGCACTCTTTCTCATCATAACTATGTACTTAGTTCATTGGCTTTGTACCCAGGAGCAGAGGAGAAGATTTTTGAATAATTAATGCATTTTCACTATATAATCATTAGATACCTGCCCTAACACCAGAACCCCTGACCCAGGGGCCATGAAATTCACAATTTTAGAAGAGACACCTTTCCTCATCATAACTATGCATATTGTTTGTTTCCTAAATACCGAAGAGCAGAGGAGAAGATTTTTTAAGAATAATGCTTTTCACTACATATTCAACAGAGCCCCACCCTAGCACCAGAACCCCTGACCCTGGGGCCATAAATTTCACAATTTAGGTAGAGGGCTCAATGCTTATTACATTTATGCCAACAGTTTGCCTGCTTGATGCCCAGGAGTAAAGAAGAAGATTTTTAAAGATTGCATTAATTCTGATGGTTTTAGCCCCACCCCTCAGGCCCCAGGGGGGTAGGGGTCATGAATTTCACAATTTTTACTCCCCTTCACATATAGATGCTATGTGCCAAATTTGGTTGAAATTGGTTCAGTGGTTCCAGAGAAGAAGCTGAAAATGTTCAAATGTTAACGCACGACGGACGACGGACGACGCACGCCGACGGACGAAAACAGATAGCAATAGGTCACCTGAGTAAACTCAGGTGACCTAAAAAAAAAAACCAAAAAAAAAAAAAAACCAAAAAAAAAAAAAAAAAACAACAAAAAAAAACAAACAAAACAAACAAAACAACAGCAACAACAACAAACAACAACAAAAAAAAAAACAAAGCAAAAAAAAAAAAACAAAACAAAACAAAACAAAAACAAAAAAAAAAGCAAGAATTGTCTTAACGTTTAACTATCACCATTTTCTTTCCAGATACATATATTCCAACGAGATAAAGATATTAAAAGTTCTGGACAGAAAATTCTTAAAGGAATATTGACTTTTGTTTTCTTTTGTCCTTTAGCAAAACTTCTTTTGACTATGTGGTTTATCGTTTATCATCAAGTTTAAAAACACTTATGCAAATAAAACTAACAAATCAAACAGCGATATACTGAAACATGTGTCTTAAATATTATCCATAGATAAATAATAATTTTTATCATTAATTTATTAAAGTTCATTGGATGGGGCATTTTTAATTAATTATAACGAGGGTGTACAATGATCAAATTCTAAACATATCAAGTAAAACTACAGAGGTACTTTGTATGAGTAGTTCAATAGAAAACTGAATCAGGTAAGTTACACACGGGTTTATTTTATCTTAAAATTGGAATATTTTGTTTTATTTTTTACCCATAATGTTTTTACTTTCAGACTTAAATCATTGTGTTTAAAATGTTTTGTTCCACATTCAATATTTCATCGGTGAAGGGTAATAATCATGTACATATGTATCTTTGATGTTGTTTACTTTTTAAATTTTTCTCGTCTCACTGAAAAAACATACATGTATTATCAGTATGAAGTATATGAGCAGCAGAAAATTTAATAATATTACAAAATTACAGCAGATATATGTTTTGTTCATTGCATTACATTTGACATTTAGGAACTCAAAAATCATGAGGAAAAATTCTTTTGATGGAAACTTTCTCCATCTCTCCAACTATCTCTCCCTCTTTGAAGGGATTGGCGAAGGACCTCTGAATCTCCTATATGGGTTAAGTGATTGCTTTACAGAACAAGAGGCCCAAGGGCCTTAACGGTCACCTGAGTACAATACAACAATTTAGAGGATCCCCGCCATAGGACCTGAATCATGGACCCAGGGGCCATGAATTTAAAGCTTGAGCACTCATTACACTGATAAATGAAGCTTTGTTGCCCAACAGCAAGAAAAATAGTATGATTAGTTTCAACAAAATAATTGGTCTAGTATCTATCTGCCCCCCCCCCCCCCCATTTATCACTATTCCCATGCAGACTATTAACAAAATGTCTATTATTTAACCTCATATTATTCCTTCTCACAAAGGCCTCTCTTGGCCGTTGAAGAACATTTAAAAAGATAAGTTATTTTTGTCTCATTTTTATTCATCTATTATTTCCAAGTCATTAAAACTATGAAAGTACTTTTTTTATTATACAATAAATTTTCTTGCATAATTCTCTTATTCTATTAAGCTTTCAAATACATTATGTTAATTGATTAATTATCAAAGGTGAATGGCAAAGGGAAATAACTTTGCTCAGTAGAATACAAGTTAATAGAGCCCTGGCCAGGACCAGAAAAGTTGACTAAATGGTCCAGGTGTTCAAAATTCTGGTAAAAATACCCTTGCATATTAAAACTTTTACTCTGTTTGCCTTGAACATCAAGAGAAGCATAGACGATTTTCAAAGAAATGCATTTTCACCATATTATTAAATAAATAAAGCCCCATCCTTACACCACAACATCTGACCCATTGGCCACGAACTCACAATTCTGGAAGAAGCACCCTTTCTCATCATAACTATGCACTTGTTTCTTTAGTTTATAACCAGTAGTCGATAAAAAATTTTGAAAGAAATTATGCATTTTCACTATATACATGTAATCAATAGAGCTCTCTCTCCACCCCCCCCCCCCCAGAACCCCTGACCCAGGGGCCATGAATTTCACAATTTTGGAAGAGGCATTCTTGCTCATCATAACTATGTACTGAGTTACTTTATTTAATATCAAGGAGAGATAAGAAGATTTTCAAATAATTAATGCATTTTCAATATATAATCAATAGAGCCCCACCCTAACACCAGAACCCCTGACCCAGGGGCCATGAAATTCACAATTTTGGAAGAGGCACTCTTGTTCACCATAACTATGTACTAAGTTACTTTATTTAATACCCAGGAGCAGAGAAGAAGATTTTCAAAGAATTAATGCCTTTTCCCTATATTAAATCAATAGAGCCCCGCCCTAACACCAGAACCCCTGACCCTGGGGCCATGAAATTCACAATTTTGGAAGAGGCACTCTTGCTCATCATAACTATGTACATAGTATAACTATGTACTTAGTTACTTTATTTAATACCCAGGAGCAGAGAAGAAGATTTTCAAAGAATTGATGCCTTTTCCCTATATTAAATCAATAGAGCCCCACCCTAACACCAGAACCCCTGACCCTGGGGCCATGAAATTCACAATTTTGGAAGAGGCACTCTTGCTCATCATAACTATGTACTTAGTTACTTTATTTAATACCCAGGAGCAGAGAAGAAGATTTTCAAAGAATTCATGCAATTTCACTATATAATCAATAGAGCCCCGCACTAACACCAGAACCCCTGACTCTGGGGCCATGAAATTCACAATTTTGGATGAGGCACTCTTGCTCACCATAACTATGTACTTAGTTACTTTATTTAATACCCAGGAGCAGAGAAGAAGATTTACAAAGAATTCATGCATTTTCACTACATAATCAATAGGGCCCCGCACTAACACCAGAACCCCTGACCCTGGGGCCATGAAATTCACAATTTTGGAAGAGGCACTCTTACTCACCATAACTATGTACTTAGTTACTTTATTTAATACCCAGGAGCAGAGAAGAAGATTTACAAAGAATTCATGCATTTTCACTACATAATCAATAGGGCCCCACACTAACACCAGAACCCCTGACCCTGGGGCCATGAAATTCACAATTTTGGATGAGGCACTCTTGCTCTTCATAACTATGTACTTAGTTACTTTATTTAATACCCAGGAGCAGAGAAGAAGATTTTCAAAGAAATAATGCACTTTCACTATATGATTTATATAGCCCCACCCTAGCACCAGAACCCCTGACCCTGGGGCCATGAATTTCACAATTTTGGTAGAGGGCTCAATGTTTATTACTATGATGCCAACAGTTTGACTGCTTGATGTCCAGGAGTAAAGAAGAAGATTTTTAAAGATTGCATTATTTTCAGTGGTTTTAGCCCCACCCCTCAGGTCCCAGGGGGGCAGGGACCATGAAATTCAAAATTTTTGTTCCCCTTCACCCATAGATGCTATATGCCAAATTTGGTTGAAATTGGTTAAGCGTTTTCAGAGAAGAAGCTAAAAATGTTTAAAATGTTAACACACGACGCACACCGCACGACGCACGACGCACGCCGACGGACGAGAACGGATAGCAATAGGTCACCTGAGTGACTCAGGTGACCTAAAAAAAGATAAGTTATTTTTGTTTCACTTTTATTCATCTATTACTTCCAGGTCTACCTGATCATTAAAACTAGGAAAGTACTTTTTGTATTATACAATCAATGTTCTTGCATAATTCTCTTATTCTATTAACCTTTCAAATACATTATCTACACTGATTAATTATCAAAGGTGAATGGCAAAGGGGAATAACTTCACTCAGTAGAATACAAATTAATAGAGCCCTGGCCAGGACCAGAACACTTGACCAAATGGTCCAGATGTTTAAAATTCTGGTAAAAATACCCTTGCTTATTAAAACTTTTACTCTGTTTGCCTCCAATATGCCCAGGAGCAGAGAAGATTTTCAAAGAAATAATGCACTTTTACTATTTAACACAGCCCTACCCTAACACCAGAACCATGACCGAGGGTCATGAAATTTACAAATTTAGAAGAGGTACCCTCATCATCATAACTATGCAATTAGTTGAAGATTTTCAAAGAATTCACACATTTTCACTATATTATCAATAGAGCCCCCACCCCCTCCCACCCCCTCAGAAAAACAGCAGAACCCCTGGGACCACAAGTTTTAAAAATTTTGTAAAAGCATCCTTGTTCATCATAACTATACACTTGTTTCTTTGCTTTATAACCAGGAGTAGAAAAAATATTTTGAAAGAAATTATGAATTTTCACTATATAATCAGTAGAGCCACCCCCCTTTCACAAGAACCCCTGACCCTGGGGCCATGAATTTCACAATTTTGGAAGAGGCATTTTTGCTTATCATAACCATGCAATTCCTTTGTTTAAATAATACCCAGGAGCAGAGAAGATTTTCAAAGAATTGATGCATTTTCACTATATAATCAATAGAGCCCCACCCTAACAGCAGAACCCCTGATTCAGGGGCCATGAAATTCACAATTTCTGAAGAGGCACTCTTGCTCATCATAACTATGTTTTTAGTTAATTTCTTTAATACCCATAAGCAGAGAAGAAGATATTCAAAGAAATAATGCATTTTCACTATATAATCAATACCCCCCCCCCCCTTCACCAAAACCCCTGACCCAGGGGCAATGAAATTCAAAATTTCTGAAGAGGCACTCTTGCTCATCATATCTATGTACTTAGTTAGTTTATTTCATACCCATAAGCAGAGAAGAAGATTTTCAAAGAAATAATGCATTTTCACTATATAATCAATAGAGCCCCCCCCCCTTTCACCAGAACCCCTGACCCAGGGGCCATGAAATTCACAATTTTGGAAGGGGCATTCTTGCTTATCATAACTGTGTACTTAGTTAGTTTATTTTATACCCAGGAGCAGAGAAGAAGATTTTTGAAGAAATAATGCACTTTTACTATATGATCTATATAGCCCCACCCTAGCCCCAGAACCCCTGACCCTGGGGCCATGAATTTCACAATTTTGGTAGAGGGCTCAATGCTTATTACAATCATGCTAACAGTTTGACTGCTTGATGTCCAGGAGTAAAGAAGAAGATTTTTAAAGATTGCATTAATTTTAGTGGTTTTTGCCCCACCCCTCAGGCCCCAGGGGGGCAGGGACCATGAAATTCAAAAATTTTGTCCCCCTTCACTCATAGATGTTATATGCCAAATTTGGTTGAAATTGGTTGAGCGGTTTCAGAGAAGAAGCTGAAAATGTTCAAATGTTAACGCACAGCGCACGACGCACGACGAAGCCGACGGACGAAAACAGATAGCAATAGGTCACCTGAGTGACTCAGGTGACCTAATGACATGCACTTACAATTTAAATACATGTTCATCTCTTTCACGTTATTTCTTGACATGTACATGTACATTTATAAACATTTGCAGCACATCTGATAGAAAATAGAGATATAATGAAATAAAAGTTCATTGAAAAAATATAAATCTGGATTAGGGCAAACATAGACCTCTAAAAACATAAAAGGCGAAATCAGGTGCTATGGAGGCGTATGCATCCCCTGTCGACAGGTCACACTCGCCGTGTGCTGCTTGTCATGATCGGGAAAACAGAGAAATCTGTAGACAATTCAGTGTGTAAATAAAGCAGGAATTTCTTCTAGCTGTTACTCATTAGCATAGAATTCTACCTTAACAAATTTCAAAACTCAGTTTTCGGCCATTAAATCACGCAAATAACAAAAGAGAGGACAATTATGCCTTTATTTAAGTATGTAATTTTAATGCTGTATATTAAATTGACTTTATCAAGAACCATTTGCATTAAATATCGAAAATTAATACTAAAAATGTTTTCAATCCTTTACAGTATAGAAAAAGTTCCCCTGAAGGTATTCCATCTTTAGCTCAATTCCTAAGAAAATATTCAAGATACTTTCATCAAACTTCATATGCTGATGTAAATGAGAGCTATTCAATTGCATCGATTTCTGCAATTCAGTCAATAAGAAACTATAGTAATAAAACATTGAACCAAAATCAGAAAAAGGCTAAAAGAATCATTAAAAAATATTTAACCTATCATAATCTCCATTTTGATATTTGAAATCTACATAATAAGTGGTGCCGCAATGAAATCCAAAATAAAATGTGGGTGTAATTAGCCCCTTATAAGTATATTTAAGGCCATTTCTTGTATGTGCTCCTTTCTTCATTTTAAATCTAAAACAGTGATTGATAAATACATTTGAGATTATTTATTTCATATAACATAATTATGTTTAATAATGAGATGTTTAATGGTGAGATTAATTAATCGTATATCTTCTGTGGAAAATTATGCCACGCGATGGGCCAAATATGAAAAAGAAGACGTACCTTGACACTTTGTCAGAATGGATTAAAGTATCAGATGAATGTTAAAATCTCGCATTAAGTGATTGAAGGGCAATATGAAAACCCTCAATCCTTCTGTCTTCAATATATCAGAAGTGATAAAAGAATAAGTTAGATTACATGATCAGTATGCACTGCTCTCAGCTAACAAAGCAGGTAACAACATTGTCTTTGTTTATAAGGCTCGTTATTTTAATTGAATTTTAGGAGAACTGGGTTTTAATTCTACAAATGGTATTCCAACTTTATACTCATAGCTCCTTTTCCAAGGAGGAAATTCTTCAAAATCATATACCAATTTTAAATATTTTTAATATTCACAACAATCAAAATGAATTTGAATTACCATACCTATACTGGATTCCTAAACTTCATAAAGATCCTTACAAACAAAGATACATGATGGATTCCAGTAAATGTTCTACCAAGCCTCTTTCTTTTCTCCTGACTAAAATATTAACAGCAATGAGTGAGAAACTCCAGGAGTACTGTACAACAATATATTTTAGAAGTGATGTAAATCAGATTTGGATACTAAAAACCCCAAGAAACTTTTAGAAAATTTGAAATCACAAAAGTTTACCAAAACCAATAACGTCAAAACGACCTTTGGGAAAGAAAATAATGTACCAAAAAAAAAGAATCTGTCTGGACACACTCTAGCAACACAGTGATGCAACCCCAGAAAATTGACATACAATGCAACCCTGGTGTAAGAATGATTCCATAACTTTAATGGCTGTTTTTTTTCTGTCTTAAGAACTCTTAAAAGAAAGACCAATTCAATGAAACATTTCTACATTGTATATGGTTCAACAATAAGATTTAATGAAGATTAGTTTCATTTGATATTATTCTACGGAACAAATATATTCCATAAACATTAATGAAGAACAGTAGACAATGAATGTATGTATATGACAAGATGTGATTACAGATGTGTAATGTACAGAACCAGATCTTACTGCAGTGTTATGTTTTTATATGATGAATTACAATACTGATAATGAAGAGAACAGTCAATATATGACAAATGTATCATGTGACATCACCATATGACACACACATCACACATGATATTCTCCTATGGCATACAAATCATGTGACATCCTCTTCATCCTCATTAAATGACAACAGAGTGGAGTTCTTGACAGCCTTCCCTGATTTCTTCTTCTCTCCTTTCTCTTCTTTCTTCTTCTTTGTAGAAGTTTTTAATTCTGTTGTCTCCTCCCCGCTCCTCTTCACTGGCTTCTTAAATGTGATTTTACCATCAGCTGGTGGTTCTGTGGAGAGAGAACACATCAACATTTACTTAAACAATATACATGTAGGATAATGCAGACATAGACTTGTGCATGTATATCAGGAATAAGGTCTGGAATAGATGATGGACATATATACATGTATTGTACACATATGATAAGGGCTTAACTTAAGAAATAGAACAAAATGCCTTTGACCCACAACATTCATTTGAGCCAAATTGTAGTGTTGTAGTCTTTGGTTTGTAGTCTTGACTTTGAAAAAAAAAGCTCTGCTGTATATTGTATATTACTGCATTAACCTGAATAATCAATCAAGCCTGCTTCAGATTTAAATGCTTCAGAATTTAATTTAGACAGTAAACATTTTACATTCATTTTTTATGGTGATGTTTCACAGGAACAGTATGGTTACTTTATAGGAGTCTCTGATGAGACTGTAGCTTTACAGTTGCAGGCATTTCTCACACATGAATAAACGTTGGTTTACGATATCATATACACACCTTCAGTCTTTTGCAGTCTTTCCACCTCCTCAGCACTTAGATCCCCTTCTCTCAGCTGTACAACCACTGGCTTCTCATCTTCATTGTCTGGCCTGTCCTCATCATCATCATCAAAGTTTGGGATCTCTCTCTGTTCAGAAAATATTTTTAAAAATTCTCTGATTTTACCATGTTTACTTATAATCAACCTTTACTGGTCATAATGTACATCACAATCAAATCACTCTCTCACATTTCTATTATCACAGGTCTTAACCAGAATCCATCGAAAGTAAACATGGAAGCCTGTTCATGTTTTTGAATGTTTGATATATCTAATGTTAGTCCAATGAGGAGATAGGATGGTCGATCAAAGTTTTATATTGAAATATAGAGCAATATCTTTAAAAATCTCAAGAACAGGAAAGCTATGATTAGCCTCAGTAAGTGAAGATTCACGTTTGTTCAAATCCCCCCCCCCCCCAAAAAAAAAAAATTGGGAAATCACTATATATTTAAATTTTTTGACACAGAACAGATTTCTGCTTTTTCCTTGCAAAGTGCTCAGGTGAGCGATGTGGATCATATTAGGCTTCTTTTTAAATTATATTAGTTTTATACACATTATTTTAAGTGACACAGGTCTGGGATTTTCCACTCCCCCATGTAGGGCCAAATTTAGGCCCCATTCCCAATTGCAAAAACCCTTCCTTTTTCCCAGCGAAGTAACTATGTGTTACAATCAGAGTTAAAAATCAATAGAATTACTACAATATAAAGACACATTGTTCTAAAGAAGTGATTTGTTGATTATCTACTTTTTGATTAAAAGCTCTAAACAATCAAATAAAAGCTCAGATTTATTCATCATTAGTGTTTATCTTTTGAAAATTATCATGTGACATAATTTCCTAATCAGTGATAAAATTTCATTAAATTGCCAATTCCAAGGGCCCAGGCTCCATTCCCAAAATGTAGTGGAAATTCCCTGCAGTGATTGCACCTTAGCTTAGCACTAGTTACTGTAATACAGTAACTAGACTATACTACAAAATCCAGTGATAGAGCTCTTCAATGTTTAGGATAAAATCAATTGGCTGTAAAATTGTAAGGCATTGATTGAACTTTAAAAGTCAATGTTTCTAATCTTCTTGTTTACCCATTAAAGTAGTTTCCTGGGGTTTTTTTTACCGCTTTTATGTTTATTCTTTGTTGTTCTCTCTTTTTACTGTGTCTTCATGCCAAAAACCAACAAATCATGTAATTTAATGTATTGCTATTTAAAAATTAATTTGCAGCAAGTATCAGAAAGATCCCCACTTTTTCTTTTGTAAGAGTATTCACACTCAGTATGTGTATTCTTCTTCTTCTTCCCTTAATGGAGTAAACTCAATTTGAGTGTTGAAACTCCAGTAATTGCAGATATACTTGATTAGATGCAATTTTACTTTCAAGCTATTAACTGAGACCATTTTTGAGAGAAATTGATATTTTCTGTTTTCTTTTGCTGATGCATTGACTGACACCTTTCGTTGTGAAAGGCCAGTTGTGAAGACTATTATGGCTTTTGACCTTAAGTTGACACCATATACAGATAAAAAAAAGTACACTTTTTTTTGTTATATAGCATGAATCACAGCAAACAGACCTTCAGTTGCCTGAGAATCTTGAATGTGATGAAGTCAGCCCCGTATTGAACTAAAACGCTTGATCAAAATGACATCACATGAATTTTGTTTGCAGATTCTCAAATTCCTGTGCTCAAAGAATATTTTTTACTCCTATCCTTGGCCCTTAATAATGGTGAAGAAAAGATGACTAATGACTCATTGTAATCATGGGTGCTTGGGTTTTAATATATACAAGATGTATGAGAGCTTGTATATATCAGTGTACCTTAACTGCTTACCTGCTGGAATATGCAGTGTATGCAAGAAGATGTACGGTATAACTTTTAAGATTTCAAGCTCGCCCAGATATCATTTAATTTTGGCCACTGGAGTCATAAATTTAAAAATATTTTGGTTGAAGTATATATTTATTGCAGGAATCAATGCGCTACCCCCCCCCCCCCCCTCGTCTCAAGCCACGGTTCGGAGTCCGCATATAGCTTTTTCCAGAATGTGAGAGGATCGTACATTTTGGCCATGGTTTGCCCCCCCCCCCCCCTCCAAGCACACACACAATTTTGTTGTTGAGGAAATTCGAAATGAGACGCAACAAATGAAAAAAAAACAACAACTTTGTTTTAAGTCAGAACTGTAGAATTAATTGTACATACCTTTGTATCAACAGTTGGACCTTCCTTGTAGCCTACCCTCTGTTTAAATTTCTTAATGAAATCCGGTTCATCGTCTTTAACATATGATATTTTTCCTTTCGGCATTGTAAACAATCATCACGTTTATTGTACAACTTAGCTAATAAAATTTTAACGGTTATTAGACAGTTCACACCCTTAACAGTTAGGACCCACACATCACTCTGAATAAATTAACTTGCACATTGCTATCTATATATATTTTTTTATTTTTAAAAGAACCCTTTAAAAAAACGAATAAGGTTTGGACAACAGTTTGAGTTAAATAATGCTTGAAGGGAAGAAATTTAGTTAACAATTTTGTGGGGTGACAAATTGATACGATACCGAGGGACCAATATGGCTGCTATAGCTGGAGAGGTAGATCTGACTGGCGATCAAACGTTTCAGGTATTGATTGTAGACAACAATGACCCCATGCTTCCAACTAAAAGACGTATCAGAACATCGCTTTCAATATTCCGAGCCTATCTTCTCGAAAAGGACCTGGATCAGAGCATAGAGGAGGCTTACTCTTCAGAGCAACTGAACAATTTGTTGACAAATTTCTATCTGGAGATGAAGAAAGCTGACGGTCAGCATTATGCTGGGACGTCCGTGATATCGATCCGTTACGGTCTGCAGAAACATTTTCTGGAGTTAAGAAATGAAGATATTGTCCGTAACGAAAATTATTCAACTTCCAATAAAATGTTTAAGGAGGTGTTAACTAAACTGAAGAAGGAGGGCTTGGAGTTTCCTAAACAGAGAATTTCTATTCATCCTGATGACGTAGCAAAACTGTATAAAACAGTGTTCTCAGCAGATACCCCAAAAGGGCTCCAGCAAAAGACTATTTTTGAGTTTATTTACTATTTCTGTGATAGAGGCCGCGAGCACTTGAGGAGAGTACGAAAAGATGATTTCACATTCTGCAGGGATGCATCTGGGAGGGAATATGTGACTGTTAAAGAGAGATACACAAAAAAGAAAAGTCGGGATAAACAGGGGAAAACAATCATGCCAGTCAGAATGTATGACCACCCAGGTGGGTGCAGGTTTAACACTAGGATTCGTAATAGATCCTGGGCAATGGGATGGATAGAATGTTCTATATCTTTAATATGATAGGGTCATACAGATTATAGGAGTGATTTTCAAGAAATGTATTGATAACGTTCACTCTATAAACTTAAACTGAACCTTTTTGAGATTTTAAAAAAAGATATCTATGGAATTCATGAACGAGAAGCATTTAGGGATTTGGGAAGTTTCTATTTTTAGTAACATGATAATGTTCCCTTGGTTTTTCAGGTGATCCCATGTGCCCAGTGGCATCTTTCAAGAAATATTTGATGAAATTGAACCCAATAAACCCCTACTTTTGGCAGCGACCAAGAAGAATCTGCTACCATTCTGATTCGATATGGTATGAAAATTCAGCATTGGGAAAAAATACGTTGTCTGCACTAATGATGAATTTGAGTGCGGAAGCCAAACTTAGCAAGAAATATAGCAATAGTTGTATAAGGGCCACCTATATCCCAACACTTGACATCCAGCCAGAGGAGCCTTGTGTAATGTCAGCAATCGTTGGCTGTGAAATTGACCAATCAGTTAACAGTTCTACATTAATAGCAAACAAGAAATGTGAGGAACCAGACATTCAGTGCAAAAACCCTCCAATGAAAACGTTCAGAAATGATGCACCAGCTTCATCTGATCTGGGTCACCAAGACTCTTGTGTGAATTGTCATTATGAGACAGGTATCCCTATCAGGAATGAGTATAGAAATATTTTGATTGGAGAAGCAGCTATTGCCTGGAAGCAGCTGATTGGACGATTTAACTGGCTTCCTGACAGCGAGATAGCCAAACATCTAGTTGAGGTGCATGAAGTTTACTGTATGAGCAAGGGCTTTTGTCCTCTGGAAAGGTATGTAGATAGACGCTCCACTAACACACAACTATTGCTCAATAAGTGCTAGAGGCTCAAATTAGTTGTTTCTGTTTTACTGACTAGTACTCTCCATGAGGGTAATTATGTTCCCCAAACGAAGTTTGGGAACATATTGTTTTTACTCTGTTTCTTATTATGTTCCCCAAACGAAGTTGGGGAACATATTGTTTTTACTCTGTTTCTTATTAGGGTCTTCCGAGCTTCCTTCGGAAGACCCTTCTGTTATTCTACTGTTTCTTATTATTATTTTATTTTTTTTTTCCCGCCGATTTTCAGCAGGCGATTTCTCGGAGACCTTTTGTCCAATTGCTATGAAACTTTCAGGGTAGATACAATTTATTATTGCCTAAAAACGGTTTTTTCAAATTTTTGATATATACCTCCGTTCATGAGTTATTGCCCTTAAATCGATATTTGGAGGGTCTCTTGTCCAGTAGAATTCTCAATAACGACACATGATATTTGCATGAAAATTGGAGAACTTGTAACTAATACATTGCAGATGCGCAGAACATTAAAATTGTAGGCTATTTTTTTTAAGTTCGGAAGCTATGTGACGGCAAGTTTTAAGAATTATTTTTCCATGAAATTTTGCTGCTTTTTGTTTAATAACTTTTAAACTGATAGAAATTTGGTAAGACATATAGAATAAAAGTTGTGTGTAATTACGAGAGCTTTCAGATAACATCAAGAAAAAGGGGCTGGCCCCTATATTCAGGGGACAGCAGGTCATAAAAATATTTTTTGGATAGCTAAAAATATTAAAATATTATGAAAAAGTTTGAATGACATAATTTCTAACATATTAAATCTTGTCATGTGATATAAAGAGAAACAAGCTCCGTGCTATATTTTATTCTATTTTATATAATAATTATTCGAGAATCGTACAGGAACAAGTTGTCTACAAACCCACGCCCTTTTAAGGCATCGTAACACATGCTTGTACGTTTTAGATAGTTGTTGTGTTTTAAATAAATTGTTTTGATTCGATTTCTCTGTTTTCTTTTATTTAAATCGTTTATAAATGCAAGTTATTTACACAAGTAAATGTAAATCAACATTTACTAATGCATCCGTATAGAAAAAGTCTTAATCGGGGCCTGTTTGTAACCTGGATGTAAACAATCACGAGCGGCATTGTGGGAAGAAGACACTAAAGACCCGATATACGAAAAACATGATTTGATCTGATGCTTTGTTGGCAAATATTTCAAAAAAGTGTAGTTTAGTATAGCATAATGCTTCATAATCAATAATTTTTAAAAAATAAATCATGTATAACACTCAATCTGATTATTTTATTTTTTGAAAAATCATCAGGTCGAATATCAGGTCTGTAGTATATCAAGTCTTTAGTACCTCCCCGGAAGTACATTTAGCCATGCAAGTCGGAATTACAGACAGAAATGTGAAGTTGACAGTTGTACATTTTCTTAACGTACGAGCCGTATATAGACATGCACATTTAATCCACATCTACGAAGCACATAAAAATCCTTGGTTTGCGTACAGGGAGCTTTAGTTTTAAAGGGATATATATATTCCTGCGCAAATTGTTTACGAGGAAATTCTGACGATCACATTGACAGCGATGAACAGTCTTGTGTCGGAGTTTTCTGTGATAAATGTAGCGAGTGATGAAAGAGTTCACGGTGACATTTTAATATATGATTGGCGTGGACCTTGGAAATGAAGGTTAGAATTTTTCTTATCTAAAATTTAACAGCTGCTTACAGCAGTGATGTTTACATGTATATGCCAGCAAATGTATAAATGTACGCACAAACACTGATGTATGTTATCTATTTTATGGTTCAGTCTCTGTCTGTTAGCCCTGACATGACATTGTCAAATCCCCATTGCTTTAACTTATATTTAAATGCATGAGAGCATGTAATTTCACCAAGACTTACTTTTTTGATTGAAACAAAAAATGCAAAAATTCAGCAATACACTATCTTACATACTACATGTATAAACATGATAATTATTGTTATATATTCTTCAACAAGTATGAATAGCTGTTATAACCAGGGCCTATATTAATATTATAATTTGTTATACCTTTAAAAATTTGTTCCTATACCAGCTAGTGTACACTTAAAATGTCTAACATTTCCAATGTTTTATGAGCGGTCATAAAAAATCTATGTTGAACTGCAAAGTGAGATATTGAACCTGTCGATGAGATCATTGGACTGCTTACATATTACAGTATGCATGGGATTAGTTAAATCTCATTTGCATTCGTTGGTGTTCGAAAGTTACGGAATTGACAGAGTTTTACCTCAGTGCTGGTAAAGGAAATTTACATTACGGAAGCCACTACAAAATACATGTATGTCAAACAAAAAAAGAAAATAAAAGATATAACAAAACATTTAATGACCATGTTCTCGGGGTAAAATGCAATTTGCTGACCCCTTGAACCAAACTGTTTCCCTTCGGCCTAATGGCCTCAGGCAAACAGTCTGGTTCTTGGGTCTGACAAAACACATGTTGCCCTCGAACCCAGTTAGTAAATGTGTATTATTATTGGAAAATCTCAAAAATGTCACTCAGTTAAATTGCAAAAGAAATTTGGAAATATATTTATACATAAAAGTTTGAATTATTTCTGTGATAAGTCTGCAGGATGGTTTGTGTTTTGTTTATTGCCCCTTCAAATTTTTTTAGTCATATTATTATGCCACCACTTGCTGGTGGAGGCCTGCAAATATAGACCTGTACTTGACACTTATGGCCTTTGGGAAGTGAGGGATCTTTTTCGTGCCAGCACCTTCTGTGACACAGAACCTCGGTTTATACGGTTTCATCCGAGGAACCTATCTCCACATCCAGCTGTGGGATTCGAACCTGCGACGTAAGGATCAGCTTCTTACTGACACTTGATTGATTGTATGTTTTTTTACATCTTACTTGAGAATTTTTCTCTCATATTGAGACATTACCACATACTGGTGAAGGGCTTCAAACATAGACCCTAATACTTGGCACTAAGACCCATTGAGCAGTGAGGGTTCTTTATTGTCCCAAAATCTACTGTGAGGTTTTTACGGTCTCATCTGAAAAACCTTTGACTTTCATTCTAATGCTGGGCGCTTGGTGAAGGAACCTTCACAACCTATATGTTTATGTCTTAGGTTTGACACAGCAAATGAGAATCAAATCCAGGCCTCCTGATTACAAAATGAATGCCCTACAACTAGGCTACCATTACAGATAATGAACTAGATTAATTACCATGTAAAACATTGTTTAGTAAAAAATTAGTTCTTGAAATTAGAAAACAGAATTTTTTTATGATTGGGGTATGTAAACTTAGAATGGTATTTGGGTTATACAGTAAAACACGCTTACTGTGAACAGACTTAAATAAGGAATTGAAGCGTATAGTTAAGTGATTTTCATTCCCTGTGGTTTTAAAACATACTGAAAACTAAACTGAAAAATGAATACATTTATAATGAATCAAAATTATTTGTCCCTGGCACTTATTAGCAAGTTTTACTGTAAAGACAAAATAATGGGGATTTGTTTTCACAGTGGCTGTATATTGTGAATTATTCAAGTAGTCGATTGCAACTTTTCAGCTTTAAGCAAATCTCGTTCAAGCAGATGCTTGTCTGTCTCCATAAACTCCAACGAGCAGGAGTTTATGAACACATTCGAGCATCTGCTTGAATGAGACTAGTTTTACACATTCTATCTACATGATCTAAGTGGTAATTTTTTTTTTTTTAAAAATATGTATACTGGTATATTATTTAAAAATTACATATTATACAGAAAATACCGACTAACTGGTTATGAAAATCATAACCCGTCATCCCATACTAAACCAGTTACTATTTATATTTCTGACTGATTAGATGGTTACCCAGTTGACCATTGCCATTCCTAATAATTTTTTTACATGTATAAGTTATGTGCATTTCCTTTGTGAAATCATGAAAAAAACTCCTATTTAATCCCTGTACATGTATATATTATATTTTTTAATTACATACTCAAAATTGACTGCATGTAAACATCTATTTAATAGTCAGTACTTTTTACAAATAATACACGGAAAATGTGATATCTTTGAACTCTGTTTGATGGTTTCATTAGGGATGTCAATTAGTGATGGGACATCGGTTAATTTTCATAACCGATCATCGATTGGAATCGGTTACTGCTTCTGATGCAATTTTACCGATTATAATCAGATTTCATAGTTTTGTATACAAAAAGCAGACTATTACAATTATTTCATAGTATTTCTTTAACATGAATATGTAAAATATATAATACATTATTTTCTTTGTTTTGCTTCTTTTACACTTTCTAGGCATCACCCGCGTGGCACAGTGGTTAGAGCGTCTGCTCTAGAGTCGCAGAGTAAGGTGTTGACCCTTACGTCGCGGGTTCGAATCCCACTGTGGGAAGTGGAGACCGGTCCTTCGGATGAGACCATATAAACCGAGGTCCCGTGTTGCATTAGGTGCTGGCACGAAAAAGATCCCTCACTGCTCAATGGTCGTATAAGTGCCGAGTATAGGACAAAATTTGCAGCTCTCCACCGGCAAGTGGTGGTGTCTCCATATGAGTGAAAAATTCTCGAGAGGGACGTTAAACAACATACAAACAAACAAACAAACACTTTCTAGGCCTAAAAAAATTGTGTTCATTTCCTGTAACATTCCCAAAAAATCAAGGGTCAGTAGGTCGGGAATTTTTTTTCTTTTTTTTTTGTTTGTTTGTTTGTTTTTGTTTTTGCTTATGAATAATGGGGTCAAACATCCCAAGACTGAATTATCCAGGTGTTACATTTACAGTGGACACCCAACATGGCTGACTAGCGGCAGAAAACGAACCTCAAAAAGTTGTGGGGGAATTAATTACTCTTTATATTTAAGGTAAATGTTGACTAAGTTGCATATTTTATATCTCAAATTAAAGATACAATTAATATTTTTTGAATAAAAAGA